CCCCGCATCTCCCCCCCCCCCCCCCCCCCCATCTAGTAGTAGTCTGGTACTCTGGCAATTTTGTTTAGAAATGTTAAAAATGAGACCTACCTTTTCCTGCTCCAGTAACTGTTGCAGACTTGCTTTATACTGAGGAGTCTTCATGTATGCCATGAACTGCATGTATTGGATCTTAAAAGAGTCTGCAAAATAAATAAGGAGATGATACATTTCAAGCGAGAGTAAGTGCAATGCTCCTATTTACCCCTATTTGCTCCCTTGACACCTCTCCCCTCTTTGCTCTCTCTTGCTTTTTATTTGGACTGTAAGTTAGACCAAGCCATTAAAGATCAATTTAGAGCATGCTGAAAATTCATCTTCTGATGCAAGCTGAACTCTTGGATCCATTAGCTACTTATAACAGGTACCCCAATGGAAGTCATGACAACACATTCAAAAACAGAGGAAGATGATGGGTGCTAATGGTGTGTTTGCATGGTGAAAGAGGAGCTGAATGGCTTTTAATGCACTGTAAGTAGAAATAATAAAAGAGATTAGCTTAACAGCCAAAACCAGCTCTGAGCTCAGAGCACTCATCCTCCGAGCACCACAAGACAGGGCTTGCTGTACTCCTCCTACCTCCACACAGACAGATGACAAGCTCTACACCCACATTTACTCTACCCTCCAAGGAGCGCTTACTTGTCATTGCCCTTCTATCTCCAGTCTCCTATTATGCAATGAACCTTCCTTCTCCCCAGCCCTCACCACTGGGGCCCTTTCATCACAAAGCCAACCACATGATTAAGCCCAGTGTGCTGCAATCAGAGGCAGCCAAAACATGTAACAGATGGTGTACAGACTTTTGCAGAAAGGTTTTCTCCAGACAAGTGTCGTTCGACCCACTCCCCCACCACCCCTGACATGGAACATCCCTCTAAATCACTCTTTTTCTCTCTCTTTCTCTACAGTAATAAATCAGTCACAACTGTAAGACACCACAGCAAGAGAGCAGGACTTAAAGGTATCACAGATGCCCTTGGTCTCTACATAGACAGGAACATCACATCAGATTCCCAGATGATCCTGGACCGGTTCATGCCCAATGCCAAAGGCCAGAAACAGTTGGGGGCAAGGAAGGAACCAGTAGGCTCAAAAAAACACTCTCCAAGTTTTTCCTTAAATCACCTCTTGCTCATGGAGCCTATTTTCCAACCACACCACCTTTGTGACCTCAAACTCAGACAGCATCTCATGTACTTTGCTCTAAGTTTTGCAGAGAAAATTGAGTGACATTCCCCAAGACTGTACCATTTAAAAATAAGAGACTGGTTTCATTTAAAATAAAGTTATTTCTGACTAGCCATTTCCATTTATTTAAAGTTATTCTGGATTCCTGCTAAACCCAAGCGTATTTCCTTTTGTGCCAAACGAGAGTTCAAACAATGTCAAAAAAAAAATGCAAACCAAGACACCAACTTCAGCAGCAAGCAAGAGAAGAGACCTCATGGTGATGTCAGTAGAAGTGGGGCAGGCAGGGGAAGATGGGGAAGAAGCTGTCCCCCTCTCCTATTCAATATACAGCTTTCCATAGTGGCTGTCTATTAGTAGCGCTTTGATTTACCGTATGTTCAGAAACCTCAAAGTAGAGGTTCCCATGACAAACACAGTGACAAAATTACAGTCTTACCTAGCAGCTTCTGTAGTGCAGGTGGGGTAGGTGTCACCAGTAGCTGGTTAGATGAATGCCGTTGCACTTTAGGAGGTAGTTGGTAATATGGACTATGAGGTGACTTGTATGCATCTGAAGAGATAAACAAAGACAACCTTTCAGTCTATGAAAGTCAGTGTTTCTGGCAAGTACAGTATCTTTACCATTAGAAGACACGTCATTTACAATGCAAGATCCAGTAACTTAGCTAGATCAACACACTGTAACAAATTGCTTGGAAGGACATTTACAATTTATCCTTAGAACAGCAGCAGCAGAGATAAGCTACCAGCCACAGCTCAGTTCCAGCTTCTGGCCAAGTACCTACAGAGAGATTCAATCACCATCTTCTCACAGAAGCATACCACCATCTCAAGAGGAGTTTTGCTTTAGTGGCAAGGGAGAAGTTATGACACAAAACCAAACTAAATCTAGCAATAAAGTAAGAATGACCTCCAACCACACATTCAGAGCCTCAGATACTTATCTAGGCTCGCGTGGCAAGAGGCAGCTTCTTCCACTGCCAGCCTTGAACTCACCCTGAGGAGAGGATGAAGATGTCTGTGAAACAGTTTGAGCATGCAGAAGTTCTAGTGCAGTTTGGTTCTTCTTGGTCTTGCGCTCTGTATTTGCAGTGTTCATTTTCTTGGGACGTCCTCGTTTCCTGCCTGCCATTTTCCTTCCTTTTTTACTTAGCTTTTTCTTCCGTGCTTTGGAGGGAGATGGCTTTTTAACAGAATTTGCTGCAGCCTTTTCTTCTTCAGCACCAGAATCCTAAGAGATTTTTAGAAGCCAAAAGCTCTTTAGTCACTTCTACCTACCTATACAGCACTCCTTTTAAGCAAGCATTAATAACTTTGTTTAATAATTTTATGAAAGGAAACTGATGCATTGTAGTTAAATAACTTGCCAGTGAAGTAGACTTACTTGGGATAAGAGCTGTCCCAAACACCCTAGGAGTTGTGCTCATTCTCTTCTGGACTTAGTCATTACAGAAAAGGAAATTTGTAACTGTTGTCTAAGAAAAGCTGATTATTCAGCCTGTATTGACTATATTCTTCAACTGAATTTCATTAAAAAGTCAGTACTTCATATTTTTGTGCATGAACAGTCACTGCATTTCTAACAGTATTATGCAAGGGAATGAGAAAGGAAATGAGTCTTTGCAAAAGAGACTCAGCACACGTTGAACTCCATTTAATGGGTTATGACTCAGGGAAAGCTCTGCAAGATGGTGCTGAAGGTAAGCAAGGGTGGACAACCAACTATTCATCTTGCAATACCTTTTTTTCAGAATTAGTGGTGCAATTCCCAAGTGCAGCTCTTATTAAGTCACTCCGTCATATTTTTGTCCACAGCAACTGCTATACCAGTTTACGTGTTCAGAACAAACACAGTCAATCTTCCCTCAGAATCAGGCTTTTCCTGACACAGATTATGAGTTCATGCACAGCTAAGGAGAAAACACATTTACTCTACGAAAATGCAGAATGTTCACCTTGTTTTCTTGAACCTTCGTTGGAGTAGTTGTGTTGCTCTTACTTTCTCTTTGTTGACGACGTCTAGCTGCCTCTTGTTCCTCCTGGATAAATGTTTTAAAAGACTTAATAATTTGCTCACACGTTTATCACTATTTAATACAGACCACTGTATTTCCCAGCTTAGTCTTCCACAAGAGCTAGGTGTAAGTGCTCGTATTGTACAGTGCCTATTTAAAAACCAAAAACCTTTTGTTACCAGCAAGGGGGGGGGGGGGGGGGGGGGGGAAAAAAAAAACCAAAAAACAAAACAAAAAACCTTCCCCTGCCTCAGGCAATACTCAGTGGGAAAAGGAAGGTAAGTGCAAGTCACCCTTTTGTATTGCATTACCTACTATAATGGGTTTCAAACGTGCAGCCACATGGGAAAGGAGATTAAGCCCCAACCTCTTCCCTTATTCTGCCCCTCCTAATCCCACACCCCAGATCACACACTGGTATTACAGGGTTTTGGTTTGTTTTTTTTAATTGTTAAATATGTCAATAGCTTTACATATATCCCCAACATTTCATGTGTTGCTACAACACTTCAAAAATCTTACATGACTTGAAATGGCAAAGCTATTAATCATCATCTAATTCAACTTCAGCCAAGTCTGTAGAGGAGACTGAAAAAAACAAAAGCAGCAACTTTTAAACTTGATTTTCTACTAGGCAGGAAGGGCAGGAAATTTCAAAGCGATCACTCAAAGCCTTTCTGGTACCTTCCAGATGAGGTTTAATTTGCATAAGAATTCTGGCAATTCCAACACCTCTCCAATTTAAGCAAGTTATCAGCTAGATGGTATAAGTGGCAGATCTAAATAGCCTCACCATTAAACACAGGGAAATTCAGAAGTACATGGATGCCACCCTGCATTTTTTCTTTTGAGTCTAATAAGTCTTTTTTTTTCTCCCAAGTTTGAATTCAGCAGCCTGAAATAACCTACTCTCAAAGCTACCTTTAGTCTATTTTCAACACTTACTAAGCAAGTCAGTCTGAAGATGAACATTCTCCTGAAGTTTTAAATGAACTGGCCTCACTTAATTCTCTTACTGGGAATACCAGCCCCATCGGTTATTTCAGATTAATACAGCCCAGCACAGTCTCAAAAATCCTCTGGCATTTTAATGCCACATGTAATAGCACAGACTGCAGCAACTGACAACACATTTCATGTCTCAGATAGCATGTCCCACAAGTAACATCTCAAAGCACTCTTCAGCTTCATTTTTATGCAGCCGAACACTGGGACAGATTCAAACTGTCACGTCTTTCTTTAACTTCAGTTCTGTAATGAATGAATAGCTCTTTATAGACCTCCAATGCAAGGGAAAAACACCTTGCGGCTGCCCCATTAATTCTCTATTAGAAAGCTCTTGAACATGATTGTATTAGTGCTTGATGGCATATGATGCTTCACTTCAATTAGCTCCATGCCCGTGTTCCTTGCTTATCAAGAAAATTTGATTTTCGATCAATTCTGTACATCTTTAACAAGTGACTAAATTCCTCATAGTGGCTGCTCCATTATTTCGAGTTTTCTACAGAAAATGACTGAAACTTACCCTGAGTTTTGGATTTTTGAGACTAGAAAAATAGTTTTCAAGCTGAAAATAGAAAAAGATAGTCATTTTCAAAGTCATGACAGATGAATACACAAGAACAAAATATTAGCTTAAGACAAATGCAGAACTGCAGAAATTCTGACTGGTTTTCTTCTGATAAGCTACATCAAGAAGCCATTTACATTCATTCTTTTTAGCGACACAGACATGTTGTATAGCAGGACATAATCCAAGCCTCAACAAGGTTTCATCATCTTCAACACTGCCTATCCTTGTTTTAAAGCTTTGAAAATAACCTTCTGCTGAGTGGAGATATATGATAATGAAGCTACTTCACTCTTGTACTCCACTAAAATATTTATCTGCACTCTAGCATATTCTTTAACAAAAGCATTATTAGACTACAGCAGACTTAGAAAAATAGTCTTACTATCATATTGCATAAACTCAGTGTGGGAATAAACTATTTCTCCACAAAAGTTTACAGTTCTACAGAGTTGTTTCTGTTTTCCTTCACTGAAAAAAAGAAAAAAAAAACTGTGAATGCATCAGCATTGTTATGGAGCTTTGGCTGGTTCTACAGCAACTGAAAGTTCAACAAAAATTGAGATTTACTGCTTGAATATGATAGAATGAAATGGTCTGTACACAACAAAACAAACTGAAGAATTAAAGACCCACACAGTCTTTACTCAGTGTGGAAGCTATAGCACAAGACCACCATTCTGCATAGTTGCATATTCTGGAGCATGAGAAGGAATTATACTTGTACATCTATGCACCTTCAACAAATTAACAGACTACCATAGTACTGTCCATAATTACACTGCCTGTGTAACACGTTGCACTGAAGCAGCCAAAGGCTAGCCCATGCAGTGTGATTTGCATATTCAACTAGACTGAACAGGTAACTGGTGAAGTGCACCTATTCCAATTAGGCATGCTACAGGTCTGTAAATATGCAAAAGAATAAGAAAACAGTTCCCAAGAACAAGGAACTGAAGTTGGCATGTTGACTCCAGAGCAGGTAAAGCAGCCAGAGATTTACCGGCCTGTATTTATACTCACTATGGTTCGGTCAATAGTATGCAGGTAGTAAGAAACTGGTTTCCCGGTCCATGACACAGATCCTTTCAGTGGTGATAGTTCCACAACTCTCATTATAGTGCCAATATCTAAAGGAAGAAAGTCCAGTTAGGGAACCAAAGCTCGCCCAGTTTGCCGCTCAGTTCTACTCAGCTGAAACTAGCCATGCAACAGTAAAGTCATATTCAAAACAAAAAGAAATTTTGTATTCAGACAGCAATGTCCTAGAAGAAAGCACTGCAGTGAGTTTAAAAAGCAATTTCTTATTCTCTTGCTACTTGCACCCTACAGAAAACTTAAGAAATTTGGAAGATCTACTTTTCATTTCTTCAGAGATAGTCAGCCATTCTACAGTGAAATTATGTGCTAGTGCAAGCTTTTAACAAGCAAAACTTTCCTGTGTCTCAGACAACATTTGCAAGGAACCCAGCAACAACACAACTGTAGTAACAAGCAGGATTTAATTAGACAGAACCAGTAACAGAATGTCATTAGATCCAACCCATGTAAACTGTAACTGCACTATATTTGGACTGGGGACAAACATGGTTTGTATTTGCATTCTTGCCTATATTTGTTTTGTTCCCTAGAATTAATAGGTATGGGATGTGTCTAAGCATTTCCATAACCACTGAACACTGAGTGAATGGCATCACTGCAGAAGGAATTACAGCACACTTCTAATCAAATAGAAAATTACCCAGAAGAGTCAAAAAGCAAGGTTCAGGATTCAGCAACGTCAACCACTATTTTAACCACATTTTAATACTTGTTTTGGTTTGTCCCAATTCTTTCCACGTTTCCATTTCTTTTTCCAGATGGAACTACTAGGGACAAAAATGGTATTGAGAAAAAAGGTTGCCTGCTTCTTAAAGCTTTATCTTTTCCACTGTATTTTTTAAATTATTTAACTGTTCATACTTTAGATCAAAACATTAGATAGACAGGCAAGCCAGGTGACTCAAATCATACTCAGGAACAAAAAAACCCCTGCTGAATAAAAGTATTATGAAAAACCTTGTAGGGCAACAGCATAAAGCTAGCACAGCAGAGTGAATCACCTTCTCTGCATGTGAAGGATATTGGCCACATTTGATACCACGAGCTATAAGCAGATGACATTTCCCTGGAAGCGTTACTTAGAACAGGCCATTAAGACTGGAACAAGCCCCAGGCCTAGCACATCCCATGCATGTTCATTTGATATTGCTATTTCCCAAATACAGCATGGTCACAGAATGGGATTAAGACCTAAAATTTATTCCCACAATTTTCCCCCACTGTTTGTAGGTAATTTCTTTTCAGGACCTCTTATCTGAATCCCTGGAAGAGTTTCCTATTAGTGGAAGCTATTATCTATTCTTATGCTAAGAGATCTCATTCACCCAAATCTTAATTAGCTATCTCTATATAATTTAACATCAACATTCACATCAAGCATTAAATAACTGTTGATATATAAAACTTCAGCATCCTAGAAAACATTCCCAATGAATACACACTGGGGTGAAAGCTGAAATAGCATAAAGAACTAGCTCAACTGATAGTCATAATTCGGGTTTTTATTAGGTGAAAAAAGTAGTACACATTGGCCCCTTTGCCTCCGCACCACATTTTTAACAACTGCAGTCTCCCAAACCTAGCAAAGAGAGAGATAACAAAATGGTCAGAAGCCAGGAAAAGGAGAGGCTTGAGAGGCCAAAAAAATTTATTTACACAGGCAGGTCTCCTAATTGAAACCTCAGAAGTGCCTTCTTGTATTTCATCTAGTTCTAGTGTGCTGTAAAAGAGGTACTAGGCTTTACTTAGGCGCTCTTTGTCTTATTAGCAAACTGACAGACTGATCTCAGCTCTCTGGTGGTTTGAGGATTTCCAGGAGTACCATTCTGCCTCTTTTTCCTTTTATTTTCAAGTACATGCCTACAAAGGATTGACAAGCCAGGACCCAATGGTTAATAAGGTCCAAACAATCAGATGCCACAGAAGAATATCAAACAGGAAAGAGAAGGGCAGGTTTGGGTGTCTGATGCACAGGACATTCACAACAATTCAAACTTAGTAAAAATAACTCACAATGGCACCATTTCAGTGAAATGCCTTAATGACAGTCTTCAAATTACTATTCTTGAAAAGCAGTTTACCATATCAGGCCAAAAACAGAAAACACAGCTTGAGATTTGTAACTCAGTATGTTACTTGCCATGTTTGCACATGGAGGGGAATAAGGCGTTTTTTAAATTTAGGGAATGTTTTGCACTGGACACGATAAATGTGTAAAACTCAGCTTGGATCGTTCTTTTGCTTGAAAAATTTCAACAATAAAAATTGAAAAAAGGTCAGAAGCAAAACCAACAACACGGGGTGTTAGTAATCTCAAAATCTCATTAAACTGCAGTTCACATACTTGCAAAGGACAACATTGGCAAATATCAAGTCTACTATGTTCAGAAGAGAAGAAAAACACAAAACTTTGTTGGCAATAAAACAGGCACAGCAACTGGGTGTTTATGGGATAGGTCTGTTTGATCAATTTACAGTACATAAGACAAGGCATTCAAAGCTGAACATTTCCGCTTCTAAGCCTTACAAATCATGACTGGTGGGATTTACCTGTCCAAATTTAGACAGCTACGGTATAAGGAACTTGCATGCAAGTTAGTCACTGCAGCACTTTGTAGTCAAAGAAATGAATCACGCCCTTGAAACACTTTATTTCTCTTCAACTACAAAAAGATGCCCAGCCAGGGAAACATTGACATTATAGACATCTAAACACAGCCGGAGAAACCCCATAAAAAGGTTTTGTTTCTTCCAGGTTGGGGGGGGGGGGGTGTTTGATTTTAAATACACAACACTTTGGCATGTATGCTGTAATAATACAACAGCATTTTTCTACTTACTTACACAATTCTTTAAAAAGAGCAACAAAAACCCACTACAGACATGTTCAGATAACGAATACACCATAACTGTAATGAACAATAAAAAGTGCAATCATACCACTCAAGTTTCGACTGTTAATTCTAAAATTTAGAGGTGCAAAAGGTTTTGAGGACACAATTCTCCCACCTGGAAAAAGAAAAAAAAGGAAAAAGAAAGCAGTCAGCTACCACTGTTTCTTCTAGAAATTACTACATGTTAAAAATAACCCAGTACAGAGCCCTAAAGAGCAGCCCTAATAAAACTACCACTTGTATATCGTTACCAAAAAAAAATTACTTAACACTCATTCTGACAGCATCCAAGAAAGTCAGGATATTAGTCCTGCTAGGTAGCTATGAGGTGACACCACAAGGCTCACTTTAAAATGACAGACCTTAAAACACTTAAAAAAAAAAAAAAAGGCATTAATTCTCAGTAGCAATCTGTAGAAATTTCAATTAGGAACACGCTATCTCATTCCTAGTTAGTGTCTTTTATACGCAAGCCTCCAAAGCCCTTTTATTTAAAAGAACGCTAATCTCCGTTTCACAGCTATCTGTGGTCATTCAGCCCAAGGCACAGAGCCTGAGCACCTTCTGCAAAGAGAACTAAGGTTTCTTTATTTTGTAAAGAGCACTTGAACCTTCCCCACCTTGCCACTTCTCTCAAGCTACCACTAAACAAAAGTTTAAAAAAAAAAAAAAAAACCACCCTTAAAATTAAAGATGACAGCTTAAGTTTTGGGGTTTTATGGTTTGCAACAGAGCCCAAAAGTCACATTATTTACTTCAGCACAAAGCTGTAATATGGGAAGCCACAGCTTCTTTGTTCATGCCACACATTTTTCTTTTCAGAAATACTTATTTTTCTAATTTCTGCCATAACCAAATAAAATTGTTACTTATCCAAGTGGTTAAGAGGAAAGAAAAAAAACACTTCGGGCCACAGTGGGGTTACTGGGCATCCCTGGTCACTAGTGTCTGCAATGCAACCTCTCAAGAAGCACACAATACATCCAGTGACAGTGCCCCACTTTAATACTTATTAGTTAATACCTAGTACTAAAATGTGAAGACTTTAAATAGGATAATCCAGTAACTGAATTCAGTATGCAATTACAGAAACTAGATATACAAAGCCATGACTATGCAGTCAGGAATATTTGCAGTCTTGGCCATCACATGTTTTGTCGGCTTCTCTAACAGGTAAGAAAGGACCAGCAGTTCCTCCCACCCCAACAGAGCTCCACAGAGAGTCTTCACAAGCAGAGCTGCTTCCAAGTAATCAGGTAGGTCAGAGGAGATATTAAGATGGGCAGTAAAAAGCCCAAGAAATAACTATTGCAGTGCAGACGCTTGCCCGCAAGGCACAGAATGAAACCCACCAACCTGGCTTCTGATGGCTGTAACTAAGCCCTTACCACCAGCAGCTCTCACAGTAAGCAGGAAACCAATGGAAAAAGGTTTTAAGTTCGATTTGTTACCTTCCTTCATGTTCGCAAATCGCTCCTTCAGCTGGTGATCCACCTCAGGACCAAAGGCAAAATTATTCACAAAAATAACACTGCAAGATAATGGTCTAGTTAATGAACAGGGACAGGCAAATGGCACCCAAGTGTACACACACAACTACCCCCCAACCACAAGTCACAGTCTCTTAGAGCCTTTACAGCCACTCACAAAACTGAAAAACACTTGCTTGTCCCTGACTATACAGCTACTTCCATCCAACAAAATGCTTTCTTCTTGCACAGTGAGACAAAACAGTACCCTACCTTTAGCATTCACAGACACTGCCCACATAATTACATTTAAAAAATTTTCAAGGCATCCTACTCTGACAGTTCCTCTCAGCATACAGCTGAGTTTTGCACCTTATGTTTCAACATAAAAACAATGTGCAAAATGTTTTCACCCCTCTGCCATAGTGAGATCAAACACCAACACAGCAACTATGAACACGCTTACAGTAGTTAATCCACACATGAAAAGCAATACTCCCAACACAAGACACACATTTCATCCCATTACTTCTTCACGTGCGTTTAAAATGTTACAGCAAAATATCAAAATATATTTTCTCTTCTAGCTCCAAACTCCCCCATAATGCAAAAAGACAGTTGACATCTCTCAGCATGTTTTCCCTGTCCTAAACTCAGCACTTCACCCTAACCCACAACAAAGGAGTTGTATCCTTCTTTCTGGGTTAGGAAATCCAATGAGGGGGTTTTGTTCCTGAAAAAAAAAACAGTCATATGGAAACACAGAAACCTGCACATAGGTAGAATCACACAAATGATACAAATGTTTGGGAAAGAAACAGAACTCATCACCGATTAAAAAAGAAATACCCCTTGATTTTTAAGAGCCTGGGCCTGGTCTAATTATCCCTGGTACCCATTTCCTACCAGCTTGCAACAAGAGTCCTCAAGATCTCTTGGAAGCCATCGGGCACCCTGCATGCATAAACTGCGAAAGCCATTCTGGCATATTGTTTCAACATGAAGAACTGATTTCTTTGCAAGAGGTCTGTTCAAAAACTCCCCTCCTAGTGCCTCCAAACATGAAACATGTTCAACAAGGACACTGAGTTTAAGAGCAGCAGCCAAAGCTATTAAAAACCATGGATGAAAAAAAAATGTTTATATACCAAGGAAAAAAGTTATTCTTGCTACGCCTTGCTCTTGGAAATTTGGGAAACCCTGCCTGGCAAGTAAGGCTAGCAGGGGTTTCTTCCTCCTCCTTCCCACCATGTGCCAAAAAAGAGGCCTTGCAAAAGAGCCAAGCATATTAATGGCACTAGAAAACATCCAGGAAAGGAAGGGAGAAAGACATAGCTTGCCAGATATATTTTTTTTTAGTGTTCATTCTGGCACAGTATTTTGTACGCACATGACAGAAACACAAGAGCCCCCAGTCCACCTTGACTTCAGCCCTCTTTTCAGCACGTATTGCTAAGCCGCAAGTACAGTTATTAACAGGAATACTGTGTGCTGCACAGCTTGCTTACATGTCAGCACTCAACCATGTAGAACTGTTTCCTGGTACAAATGCACCCTTCCCTTCAGAGCCTGGCCACCGGTCCACACTCACAGGAAGGGTAACACTTCAACTTACTCTCCAAGATTGGATGGCTCCAATGTGAATTCATCAGACAATCTGCAGTCTCATTAGAGAGAGCAGACGCTGAACAGTTGGCACACTCAGAACAAACACAAACACGTAACAGTTGTGAGCAAAAAGCTACTTCTTTTTGAATTTCTGTATCACAGAGCGAGGTGGCTGTGGATCAGTAGGCATACAGTTAGCTGCATACCATACAAAATAAACATCTACCAGCATTTCTGCATGCAGTTAGATGTACTTCAGCTAAAAAATAAGAAAAATAATAATTAAATTTGTTCCAAGGAAAGTTGCACAGACAGCAGAGGAGTGTGCCTTTGGAATAGCAAGCAACAACGCAAATCCCTGTTATGCTGCAAGGCTGGGACAAGTCTGTCCACAAACCAAAAGGTACCTCCAGAAGTTTAACTGGGATATGTAATAATGCAAAAGTCATCAGCCCAGCAGACGCCTTCTTGATGGAGTACTCTTAAAAGTGTCTTGGAAACAATCCATAAATTGTCACAACGCCGAAGACTTTCAGAGACCCGCCTTTGATAACTGTCCTCCATTCCCCCACATAACAGGGTGCCCCAGGAGGTCATACAAAAATAAAGATTTTTTTTTTTCTGTCCATAAGGCTGAAAGAATGCAAAGCCTTTAAAAAGACGGAATAATATTTTATTGCTTTTAACAAATTTACTTTTTTTGCTACCATCAAAAAGGAGTCTAACCCTCTGTACAGATCTTCAGAGAAATAAATCTTCAAGACAATCAGCTTAAATGAATTCCCAATTTAAGTTGGAACAGACTCACTTGGGTCTTTTGCTTCTTTTTTAAATGGAAAGTGAACCTAGCTGTTTGCACCAACAGCCAAGATAACTAGTGTTTTGCCAGAATCACTGACACGAACTACAAGAATATGCAAAACAAACAGAGGTTTATACTTCTCTGTATAACCAGAATTTATCTTGGATACACCCTTATATGTAGTATCATGGGACATGCATTTAAACCCATTCTTCTAGTCAGAAAACAGGATCTAAAGAGGCCAGTATAGAAGTTGGCAGATAGACTTTTGGTATTTGCTATGGAAATTCTATATAAAAAGCTGGCCAGCCTCCCAATTTCCATTATACAAACTCCCAAATATTCAGTTCATAAAGCAGCATTCAACTGCTGTACTGTACCTTGTGTTTGCAATCCTCTCTCTCCATTCTTCTGAGAGGAAGTCACCTCTTTCCAGCTTAAAAAAAGACAAAGAACACAAAAAACCACACACACACACAAGAGTTAACATTGTTCCTTTCTGCTCCGTATCCCTTTTCCTTTGGAGAAGGCCAAACATGCTGTACCAGCTCAGTGATACTACTACAAATAAGGCCAAATGGAGCCTTTAGGAAATACCAAGGACGAAGCACCCAGAGCTCAGCAGCTAGCTCTGCCCGTTCCTCGGGTCCCAGAGGTGCCTCCCTCTCTGCTCCCACCCTCAGCTGCTCTCCTGCCACGGGATGAACAGGGGAGCGTCTCCAGGTATCACCGATGCCCTGTGAAGACTGTGCTCCATGGAGAAGCCAGCAATGCCGTACAGCACCCATACCAGAAATGATCAGTTAGTGCCTCCAAGTCCCCACTGACCCCCATGGTTCGGTCAGCCCCTCTTAGCACAGGGGGAACCGCAGCAAAGAGATTTGGCACAGCGCTTGCTGGAAACACTGGCTCATAATTCAGGCTCTTGTTGCAACGGACAGACAAGCATCTGATTTTTCTGTGGTACTAAATATAAATCTTAAATGCTTCTAACACTTTTCAGTTGGACATCAAGTACCATAAAGGCCTTATTTGAAAATAATTATAGTTATGACTTCAGTGACTCATATAGTACCTTTCTTGTGAAACCACATCAAGTCCCAGGTTAATACCCACAACTACATAGCCTTTCCACAGATTTAACATTTTTCTCAGTCATGCTTCTGAAATGAGAGAGGAATCTATGGGCCATGCTGTTTTGCTGTGCCACAAGTAAGGCAGAAGGAGGGTTGGGGGAGGAAGATAAGAGAAGAGAAAAAATAATATGCAACTATATAATTAATGATGATGACACACTTTGAAGGGGCAAGTAAGATGATGGCTTATATCGGAACCTCAGGAACATCAAAACAACAACAGTGATTGCTTAGCATCCTTTTTCTGCATATATTCCTTTGTATGGAAAGAAGTGAGCATTTCACATGCCAGCACTTACTCTCATTTAGTGACAACTCAAACAGAAGTGCCTGCACTGCAATGCAGACACACTCGAGCTACTTGCAAACCTCACTAACTAAGCCAGAATACCTGCCTCAGTGAAGCACCAGAGCCTGGTGTCTTCCACCATAGCTTTCTCGTCCCAGCAGAGCAGCCTGACACCACTCAGAGCCACAGAAGGGATAAGAAACAGAGGTAAACCTGTCTGAGGCATTGTGAAGGACAAAGCCACAGTTGCCAACAGGAGTGGGTCTGCTTCTCAGGAGGAAAAGGGGGGGGGGGGAACATGAAAAAGAAGTCCAAATGCCCTGCTGCTACACACTGCACAAGAGGGCTGAGAAAAGCAAACATTGAGGATTCTCAGGAAAGAGATCAAGAACTTTGCAAAGAGCCTTAAGTGTTAGAAACTAAACATGCTGAAAACAGCAGGTTAGAATAACTAAAGTGAGTCAGAATGATCTGTTCCACCAAACAGCTTGGCTGAAATAAGATTTTAAAAACAGAATTACTACCTGTCTTCATACCTGCTGGGAGGGGATGCATGTTTTGATATCCCCACTATAGCAAAAACAAAGTCCATGCTGGAGACAGAACTCAGAGAGATCCAACCTAACAACATACTACTAGGTATTTTCAAAATCTAAAGCAGAAACTCAATGCAACATCAGAACAGTTCTAAAGAGCACCAAGTTTTTCTCACCTCATATACAGAAACATTTTTTCCAGAGCTCTATATGCCCTATTTGTGAATAGAGACCACCTCTAGATTCTTTTCAAGAGATATTTTTGTCTCAAAGTCTTATCTGCTCTGGTAGTAAATAGTTTCATGGTTGAGTAACCAAGACACAGCAGAAGAAAACCCACATGCAAGGCAACTATATTTATTTTACAACCATTTTTGCAAGTCAGCTTCTATATTGCAGTCCTCCACACCACACCATTTCTATGTCTACATGAGGTTTTCATACACTAACAGGAGAAAGAAAAACATTTGAAAAATAAGGAAGCATGATTATAAAGCCATAGTTTAGCAAGAGAACAAAGAACCAGTGTAACATGAAACTATTTTGAAATACTAAGCTTCATATAAAGGTCTTGAAATCTAACCTAAGTGGCTGTTATACTTTATTTGGATCCAGTTACACTATATGTTTGTCCTGCCTACGTGGTTAGGAAGAGCACAGTTATAACCAAAATCTCCATGCTTTAACCTGATAGAACACATGGAGGCTGAACACTTTTTCCCCCTGTCTACTTTGCAAGATACAGCCATGTCACAATTCAAATGAACCACAGCCCTGTTTAAACCCATCTATTTTTGTATTGTAATGCTACCCTAGCTCAGACTTAGCCAATAGTTGAGGGAAAAAAAATCTCACCAGGAAAAATACTGGAGTACAGAAATAGTAGATGGTCAACTGTGGTTGGCAGAAAATTGGTTATTTTTTCCCCCTCTGGAAGCAAGACAGTGATTCCTGGATCAGTGGTCTGCTACATTCAAAACAGAGTACAAAAGCTATCTGATTGACTACTCCTGATGACCAGTTTCTTCACCTATTGTACTTGGGGAGCAACGATCAATAAATCATGGCCTAAAAGGAAGAAAGTAGGGCCTTCCCCCTCAACTAACACAGGGATTCCAACAAAATCCCCCCAAAATCCCAGTCAACTCTGTGGTTTACAGTAATTTTGACAGCAAAACAAGAACTGGTAAGGAAACTCCAGCTAACTAACTCCTGGCCAAGGGCTGCAGTAGCTAAACCAGTAGAAGAACATGGTCCATTATAGTCATGTAGGGACACCCGTGCAAAGCAGCAGTGACAGCTACCAGGATGCACTCAATCTCTTCCCACCAGTGTCCCCACCCCCATCCTGTTCCTCCTCTCTCTGCGAAACTTAATCTCCTTAGTGAATAATGAATGGAAGGGACCATCTGTAATCCAGATATTTTCATCTGATTAGACAATGCAGGAGACGTGCTTTATCTAAAAGGATAATTAGCTCAGTGAAATCCGCTTCAGCGAGCTGCCAGCCTGCATTGTTTCTAAATTTAGAAGCCAAAACAGGTTTTTATTCAGGTTTTTCAAACAGATATATTTGCTCTACAGAGATTGCAGAAATACACTCAACAGCATCTGATTCCTGTAACTCTTCCTGTAACTGGAAGAAAACCAGCAGGTTGCTGCCCAGGGGAAGCAACAAGAGGTACACTCCAGCGGGTGCGTATTCATCACATAGCAGAGCAACAGTTTATGAAGGTCAAGCCCCTCTGCCGCAGAGGAGGGCTTCGTTCTCGCCCCAGCGCTGGGCTGGGAGTCTCTCTGGTAACGCTCTGTTTGACCGGCTACACAAAGCCATAAATTCACACGCAGAATGCCTCATTCCAGCAGCCTCCATGCAAACACTTGGCTCACGAAAACCAGTCATTTCTGCCTGGAAAAGTACACATGGTTATTTTTAGGTTCCTGTTCTTTTCAAAAATAACTGGAGGCATGAATCCAAACCTCCAAAATGTGGCATCATTTCAAAGCCACAGGGGACGTTTGGAGGGCTTTTCAAATACCAAAACATCAAGTTTCCCGCTGAAATAGGGCATTCAAAAATATCTGGGACAAACAGATATCTTGCCCTTTCCTCAGCTGCAGTGTACTGTTAAGCAATGGAAGGTTTTAAGTACAGGTGATGTCAGTTACCCCACAAACCAGCAGCTGGTATCAGGCAACAAGAGACAATGAAACTCCTACACAAATCACTCTGCTTTTGCTCAGAACAGAGATTTCCAGGAAAACAAGCCAGACAGGGCACCCCAAACTCAGAGACAAGCCTGCAAACTTACAGATGCCAGACTTCCACTGATTTATGCACAACAGGTATCACCTCTAACCCCCAGGGCTGCACCACAAAGCACCTTCAGCAATTAGAAGCTACAGGGGTTTTCTCTGCACAGCCGGCATGTGTCAAAGATGTCCATCCAGCCAAAATCCCAGCCTTTAGCAGCGCTGACCTGTGTTTTCCTGCACTTATTTTGAAGACTTGTAGATGATTTCCACCTACTGCTAAAACAAATTTTAAGGAACAGAAGAAGGTATTCTGTTATAACAACCCTGAGTAAACAAAAACAAAACAAATCCTTGTCTTCAGCAGCAGTCCAATGTACGACTGCAGCTACCACCAACTTCACTTGCAGACACCTACTCTAACCTATGACTGGAAGAATACCTTCACCTAGCAGAACAGTACAACACGTAGTAGGCACTGAGGACACACTGAAAACTTTCTTCAAGCATACCCCAGGAAGAACACTTAAGCACTTTCTACTACATGGCAATCTCAGCATTGTGCCCTAGATACCTGGAGATGGCTCTGATTTTGAGGCCACATGAGGATATTTACAGTTAGAAACCATGAAAACCCATCTGCCTCTTAATTGCAATACCACTTTTTAATTTGATGACTGCACATGTGCAGAAATTCCCCAAGAAAGACTCTGTAATTATCTAGGCCTAATGACCTTAGAGAAGTCTCCCTTTTCCTTCAGACAACAGTTTTCTTGAAAAGAACAGGGTAAGGCTAATCTTGGAGACTTCTCAGTTCCACGGGAAGAGAAACGAGAAGATAAAAGGAGTTGAAACAAAGTGATATGTGTTGGAAGGGGGACATCCTAGTCCAAAAAACTGAGGTAGATGATAATGATGAAAAAGCCCTAGAAGTATAATGCATTCCCTCCGAATGCAAAAGAGAAGACTAGCAAAGAATATGATTATCCCTAACCGATCAGGAATTGGACATCAATGACCATACAACCATAGCACAGGGATGTAAATATTTATAGCAAGTTGAAACATATCAGTTGAATATAAAAACTAAGAAAGATTCTTATCAGGAAGTGGTACTCTCTTGGTGGGGGGGGTGGGTCCAATGAGAATCATGAGATTGAACAGCTCATCATTTAAAATGAAACTCAGTTCATTTAACAGGATTATGAGATACGATTACCTACAATAGCTGGAGATCAGGAGACTTACAAGCCAATGTATGATGAGCAACCTTTCTCCCACTCCTCTCATGTCCCAAATGGATCTTCCCACTCTAAAGCTGCAGCAATAACCCATTCCTAGCAGCTGTAGCTCTGCAGAAGCCTTAGGCATCCAACATGCCTAAGGACACTTTGCCACTAGCTACTGGAGAATAACATGCAATTATCATCTGAAAGTGACTATGCAATGATGTTTTGTTCTACTGAAAAGATCTGCATATATGTGACTGTGTATTTTGTACGGAACCATTTCTCAAAAGAGACTCTTTTCTGTGATTGTGGACAAAATAGAATGGAAATATACCTGGACAATCAGGGTTTATTTTAAATGTTGTCACTGGACCTTGCTCACCATAAGTCATGTGCCTAAGCTCAGAACTTCCAGCAGTAACAAGAACATTCTAGTGGGGAAGGCGAGGAAATAAATCTGATGGTTGCAGAGCTGGTAAGTGCAATCAACTGTTGCATCACCAGCACAGTGCTAGCTAGAAGACAAGACAAGACTTAAGACAAGCAGCAGATCACTTTTCAGTGAGAAATCAAAAATCCATCTGTATTGGAAACTTTTAATTGTACTAGGCTCTTGGCTGTTAAAAAAAAAACGAAACACACACAAAAAAACCCTGCAGGCCCAACTCCAGGATTTATTGCTGCCTTATGTACAATTTTTACTTTTACATCAAGGCAGCTGTTATGTGCATGAAGTCAAAACCACCGTCCACATTATTCAGACAAAGCTGCAGGTGGGATCCAAGACTTCTTCCCACTGAACTTCTGCCAAGCTTCCCTCCTCCAACACTTTATTCTTCTCAAAATATTTATTTTTTCATATGACTGCCTAAAACATTAGAGTGGAATTCACAAGTTAAGCTCTGCTGATGACAGACTATTTCAATTTGTGCTTACTTTGTCTCCAACATCTGGAATTTTGGGACCCCATTAAGTATTTTGCAGCAACAAAATTGTTTTCCAGAAAGATAAAGATCCCAGGCTTTCAATTCCATGCCTTCCAGTGTCTTCTAGCTGCATTAGCAGACAAGTTTGCTCTCTGCTTAACGACAGTCACCTATAGAAGATGCCGTCTAAGGAATTACTAAAGAAAATATACTGTTTGGCAAAACCACGCAAATGTAAGCCTAGCATGTTTGATGAAGCAGTAAAAACTAAATAAAATCTGCCCTGTGTGCCTACGTGTAGAAGACCAAAATCTATCTTCAAGCATCACTACGACAAGGTGATAGGAAACCAAGTTTCCTTAAGTCAAGAAGTGCTGCAAGTGTTCAATTCTTCCCAGAAAAGCAGACTACATACTCAAAAGAAATTTTACTTGAAATGCTTTTCAGAAAACAGTTATAAAAGCCAAAGAACCAAGCAAAAAAACAAGTAGCTTTGTTTCAATATAGTACCAGACTCTGTCACTTGGAATGCACAATATGGAAATGCTCGCTGCCTACGGCAATCAATATGCTTTCAATATTTTAGTCCAAGTTCCTATCCTATTCTTTAAATTACACAGCTCATAAGCAGAGTATCTTCAGTAACAATTCCTTTCATGTAATGCCAGCTGGGTGACACAATGGAAAAATGCCATATGGCCACTTCATGAAAAGTAAAGCTTTCACAGTGTTTCCACAGCAGGAAAGAGTTAGCAGCCTGATATCAATCCTGCTACAAACTAGTTCCACAGCAGGCCCAGCATCCCTCTGAAGAAAATCACACTATACAGTAAAGGCATTTCAGGAAGAAAGTGCACAGAGGCAGGTGGCACTCTCACCTTCTCCAGCCTGCTTCCCAAAGGGAGAGTTGTAGCATCCTTCGTTACAAGATAAGCCCTCTAAAGAACACCAGCAATCCCAGCAGACACAGAAAACTGGGAAATAAAGGCTGGCCATCTACCACCTGCCATTTGATCCCACACTGCTGGAACACTGAAAGCCATGTGGTTCAAACCATTCCAGTAACACAGCAGTACTGGCTCTGTACAAAAGGAAAATGAAGAAGTAGTTTCCCAGACACCTGCTCACACTTCAGCTGCAGTACACATTGCTAGCTGCAACTTCTGAGCAGGAAAGAGTGACCCAACTTCTCTGGGCAATTAGGGAACAACCCTGATCCATCCAGCCTCTTCCTTGACTATAGGCGAGTGGTAGGAGAAGCATAAATACATTTATTTTCAAAACTCCCAGTGGGTTCCTATTGTACTATGATTACATCCGTTTCGTCACTGGAAAGTGATTAACTAGGGAGCAGATTTTCTTAATGACATTTAAGAAGGAGAAAAGGAAAAGGGGAAGGAATGACACAAAACAGTGTATGACTGCACATGCTTCACACTATCATACAGCGTGGAAAACACATCCACAATGCTTAAGTAACATTCAGAGGAAGGGGAAAGCTATTTCAACATGTGTCCCTAGCCCCAAGTAGAGAGACACCATATGATGACCTATTTACTCCTCCTGCCCTAGCTCCACCCTCAGAGCATCTAATTCCCATCCTTTCCAAATCAGAACTACCCACCCACCATCCTTCCTGAGCCCACAACCCACCCCTTACATCCAACTACAAACCACCTATCCTGTTAATTGGTCCTGCCGTTTTCTGCTCTAATCTCACAGTCCTGGCATTCATCCAGAACTTCAACCCCATGCCCCCCATGTTGAAACCCCTGCTATCCCATCCCCTCCACCACCTGTCCCAGGTGACCACAGCTTCACCTGCCTGCAGAACCAAAGCTTCAGCTTTTGTTTCTAGCAGGAGATTTCAGAAACCCAAGGAGGCGCTGCCATTTTCAATAGTCTATCCAGCAGAACCCCCACACCATGGAGAGGGGGGTGGGGGGTAAAAGGAGATTTAATACAAACAGAGGACACATGTCAGCCCCAGTTAAAACGACAATGTTTTGGAAGAATAAATCTTCCAGGAGCTTCTGAAGAGATCTGAAAGTGCTCCTAATAACACCATACCACATGTCAAGCAAGACAAAGTGAGGGGCCTGGGACAATGTCTTGGAGAACACCATCCTCAGGATCAAGATAAAAGCCAGGAAGCAGATATGACTCATACTGCTGCTTGACTGGTGAAAGGCTGAAGAGGACTTTGCAAATTCTGTACATCAGCACGGATCACAAAGTTTTTCAGCTGAATTTCACTCACTGTGTATTCTGCATGTTTTTTCCCATACCATTTCATCCACTTTCTGAACTCTCTGTCCATCGTCTAGAAGAGGGAGGAAAAACAAAACCACCTATTAGAACATCTCGTGTTACCAGTTACATCACAGTAAAAGGAGACGCAGCTCTGACGGCATTCATTGACCCCCAAGACTGTTTGGTTGGTTGGTTTGGGGGGAGAGGGGGGTGCCTTTAACATTCAAAGAATAGGCAGACAGACAACTACTGTAGTTTAGTTTCCTTAAAAAAAACTTTGCTTTATCAGGGCCAAGTCAAAGCTGGCATCTTCTTCTCTCCCCCCTTTTCATCAGTGTTACATGTTATAAGCAAGGCAATTTGAGTTGACACTGCTCAGCACTAAAAATGGCTCAACCTTAAGTAGCCACCGTGTTGCAGTACATAATCCCACAGTGAGTAGGAGGCACTGAATGCAGCCCAGTCTAAGCCCAGATAGCAAAGGAACAGACGGGATAAAGACAGGTCTGCTAGGGTGAATGAGAAAGCAGAGCGCGGCATGCAAAGCATTGCAACAGCAACAGAAGGAGCATCACGCTTGCTGGAGCAACCAGGAAGAGTAGGGCTGCAGAGGATGGAACCCTGTAGCTGGCACAGATATTCCATTGCCCAAATATCAGAGAAAGGAATCAAAAATCTCATCCATCAGGATAGCTTGGTGCCTTACAAATATGCATTTCCACATTTACAAATCTTGTCCCCATCTATATAAATTTACATTATGCACCACAGGTCATTACTTTAGAGTGGCAGTGAGGGTCCAGCTACACCTATACAACGCATTTGAAAATGAAACTCAAGTGTCTTGGAAGACTGAAAAAACCCTCCTGATCTTTAGGATTTGACTCCACATATGGGAGGGCCCAAAGTAGCAGGGAAAGGAGATAAGGGAGAAGCATAGCAGCAATTCTGGCTTCACTGACAACTTAGACATGGTGGAGACCTCCATCAGCAGGTCAATAAAACAGTTTGTGTTGACAGATGTGTTTGAAAATTCTTTATGTTTCAAAAGCACTCCAAAGCATAGTAGGATAACTCACAAAAATCTTCAGTATTTTCATATGCTGTATGAACTTACATTTTACTATTTTTTAAGACAACTTCACTAAAACTAATCCATAAGATTCTTCCTCTTTAGCTGCAGCTTTTCAAAGTCATCTGCATTAATTATCATAGTAACCAGAGATGCGTTGCCACAGCCAATCTTAACTAGAAACTTAATCCAATCCCTTCCACAAATGTTTGTCAGAGATGGGGAGGAAAACTGGTCCATTACACACAGTGCAAGGCAGATTAGCTGTACACAGGCAGCTTCACACATTCTGACACCGCAGCAGCTGTTTAGTTGTGAAATGTGACAGGACATTGCCTGTAACCAGAAGAATAATGCAGTATATTTTGTTCATCCAGTAATCTTATGAAATACTGGGCTACTTCTGAAACTGAAAGTACCCCATGAGTTAATACTCCTAATACTCAATTTGTGGGTAATTTTTTTGTTTGCTAACCATTTTCACTAAAGCCTTGTGTTTGTACAATGACATGAAGGGGCATTAGTGAAAGTGAGAATTTAACTTTCCCTCTTTAACAGTGATCTTTAAGTTTAATAGTAAACACAGACAGGAGCCCAGGCCTTGCAAGTGACTCCCTAATGAAACCAGAACAGTCACGCAGAGGGACTACAAAGAGCACTCCAGTTGGAAATTTCCACTGGGGCACAGCAGGGGAAACAAAATGGATTTTTAGATCCTTGTCTGATCTTCTTTGCCAATGTGTTTATGCATTTTTGCCCACACCACTGAAAAGGAGGATCAAGGATTTTTTTTTTTTTCCCCCTTCCTTCCGAAGGTATAATTTTCTAGCCTGTACAGACTGAGTCAGCTTGTTTTAACAATACGGAGGGATAAGTTTCTGTTCAGTCTACTGAAGAAAGTAAACTTCTTATGGTAAGGCATGACTAACCTTTATTGTTTTCTTGTAGCTCATTTGCCTTCCAGGTTTGCCTTGGAACTGATTATCTTTGTGTGTCCCCATTGGCACAGAATTAGAAGAAGTGTAAAGAAAACTGCCTGCCTGACTAAACATTATGGTTTTCTTATAATAAGACTTCATTTAGGTGCTTACTAAGCAGTTATTAACCAAATACCCAACACAGGCCTCATAAACAGCCTACAACAGTTTAATAACTAAGCTGAACTTCAGCTTTAGGACACCAAAAAGGGGCATCGCTGTCGTAAGCAGAAACATAGCCTTTAAAGCCTTTAAGAACTATTTGTTTGGTGAATTCATTCCTAGATTTGCTTAATGCTATGGTCACTGGAAGCCCTATATTAGAGCCATTTCAGACACAGAATGATTGCAGGTGCTCAGGTGAAGCTTACACTGCACTTCCTTTCAAATAGGTCCTGCACCATTACTGTTAAAACAGTTTTATATCTCCTGGTCCTCAAATCACTTCAGAAACATGCTAATGCTCCTTCTGTGCACTCCACAAGCACTGCTAGCAAACAACTAGACATACGCTTCTTTCCCCAAGCATGCCGTGCTCCAGGTCTTACTGACCCAAGAAGCAAAAGCAACTAGGACTCAAACTCTGCTTTTCTTCCTGCACAGCACTTAACAGTAATCCTGAATCACTGAGTTAGCCTTCAAATAAGGCATATACACATAACTCACTTCAAAAAACCACTCACCTCAGCATATTTGGCTGGAATATCAGCTTTCTCCACACCATAGTGATGTTTGCAGTTTGTGGCTGCAGCCACTTGAAGCACCACCTGACCCACACCTGCAGGAAAGAAAAAACAAACCTGAGAACAAGTTTCAGTAGAAAACCACTGCAAGAGGAGATAAGAGGTTTTAGAGCAAAGGCCAACAGGCAAAATGCAGGTAATCTGTGGGACCAGGCTTCAGGGCATAACTTCAACTCCCAGTGGTGTCTGACAGTTCCCATATGAACTCTGCCTATCTCTCAGTTGAAAAGCAGATTCAAGGCAACGTGCATTACTAAAAAGTCCCAATTCCCTACAAGATGTGAAATACCAAGAACCTGTTTTTCAGTAAATAGGGTTCACATCCTGACTAGAAAGTAAGCAGTGCAATTTCACCTTTCTTACAGAAAAGAATTTCTAGCATTGTAGTTCCGAGGTTTGCATTTTTCAATACATTGAGCACTTTTTATGATAGTAGCATAAGACTACAATATTTACAGCAATGTTTGTATTGATAATTATTAATGGCTACTTTTATTAAATATTACAGGCTCATTTTTACAAATTCACACAGGTTTCAGAATAGCTGCATTTTAATTTTTTTGTCCACAAATTGTCCACAAATGCATTCCATCAAATCTACAGTTTTTACATTGTAATTCACTATTTAAGTAATTGAACAAACAGTTAGACAAACCCTACCACATCCCAAAACAAATACTTGTTGGTCATATACCTACGCCATTAATTTAAAGATTGGCTAAAACGTTTGTCATAGTCTAGCAACATTTATACTGGTTTTCACCAAGAAACACAGCACAAATTCTGAGAACACATAAAGCTTATTTATAGATGAGCTACTTCAGAATACTACTTTAGAAATTATTATAGGGTTCAATACTCAAAATTTCAGAAACAACCACTAAGCTAGCAAGACTAAGTATTACTTAAAAATGCATGAACTTCCCATCACTCCAAATTCTACTTGCATCAGATGCTACCAGCAGTAATTAGCTGCCATTTCTACACCTCGCCTGAATGCACTCCCTCTCCCCCACCCCAGCTTACATTAAAAAGAAAAAAGAAAAAATATTCATTAGATTTCTCTCTGTATGAGCGACCCACATTTTGCACACACTAGAGCAATGTCATTCCACATTTGTTAAAGCAGCCACTTCAGATTTTTTTAAAACATCCAATATTCATCAACAGTACATTGATGCATCATTTTTTGTCTATGACTAACACAAAATGCATTCTTGTCTCACCAGTGCGCTTAATCATTCTGCAGATGACCGCATGGGAAACAAGAGTGAATCTAAGAGGATAGCCCATTTGCACAGAAAACATATTGCTGTTTTCCATTTCATTGGCTGCCGGCAGGAAGCGGCACTGGTAATTGAAGGGGTGGAACTCCTGCATTTAAACCATTACCACTATAATGTTGTCTGGCACAATGAGAACTGTAGTGCTGACAGGGGGTTTTGTTCTTGGGTTTTTTTGGTTGGTTTTGGGGTTTTTTCGCCAAGTCTCATTTTGCATACACATGCATATTTTAGACACGTGCAAATATGGATGTACCAATTTCTGCAGGGGAGAGAACGTGGACAATCAAGGATCGGAGGCAGAACCATTTCACTGTTTCTTATTTATGAAGAGCAAGGAGGACAAAGACTAAAGAGATGATCAAGAACACACTGCATTGTCAGATATCACAAGACACGGCATAAGAAGTTATTAATCTTTTATTTCTTCGGCTTTTCTTTTTGCAAGAACCGTATTGTAATTTCAGTTAGCCTAATGATGCATACCTCCATAAATTCCTCCTGCAACGAGCCACATATTCCTGGCATCACACACAAAACTAACAAGAAGAGCCACAGCATCCTGGTGGGGGTTTAGCCCCGCTGTTCAGCCACTGCTGTATGGATGCAGTTATTGGAATGGCATTAAAATTTACTGATAGAAATAATATGCTATGACAGTGTTTTCATTTACACTGCACTCAATACCGCACTGATTACTATTTACAAAAAGTTTACTCCCTCAGTACAAACCCAACAACTATGTTCTGGTTTTAATTGTTTCAGTGCTCCAAACACTAAAAGTCAAAGGCTTCTGAATTTAAACCATTCCTTTCATACAGGTTTTTTAGACTGTGAATTTTTATACTGTTGGTCAATCTCCAAGGTTAAAGTGGGGAGGTTAGCAATAAATACCTGATTTTATTTCTGATGATAGCAAGTAAAAGTAGCTAACATTTGAGCTTGTTACATAATCAGCAGCACTACAGGGGTTCAGATATGATCTTCTTTAACCTTCCTCAACAAACAATTGCAAGCATCTATGGCAATTTTTTCTACCAGATGGAAAATAGTTTTTCAGATTTGCTGTTCTAAATGTCTCATCTGAACATAAGTCATTGAAACAGGAAATTTCAGACATAAGTCCTACTGAGGGAGGAAGCAGGGGGTTAAAAAAAAAATAAATAAATAAAAATCACTGACGATCCCTGACTGGACATGTATTAAGTTTTTTGGGGGAATGGCAGTCCTGCTATATTTAAATTTTAAAAAGATTTGGTTTTTAACAACTGAATGTATTTTAAAATATTTTTCCCCAGAAGTCCTGTATCATACCAGCAACAAAACCAAAACATACTTCATTTAAAACTTTACAACCCATCCAGTAAAAGGGGAAATTCTTATTACTCCTTTCCTGCTCTGAACCAGATTTTAGCAACAAAAAGAACATCATCTTCTTACTCAGTATATCTCTTCCACATGTGTTTATCTGGTTTCTTTACCAACTAGTAGTATCTATTTCCTTTTAAGACTGACCTGTTCACGAGGTGCAGTTGTAGGCTGTAAGCTAGATTTTGTGGGGTCTCACACGGCAGCTGTTAAAGCTAACTATAAAGTCTTTTCTGACACACTGAAAAGTATGTCAGAGGAAAAACAACTGCTTCATTTTCAGATTCAACACCAGATGTTTCACACTGGCACGGGAAAGATCAAGAAATCACATTTTCAGATGTGAAGGGCATAAACTGAATCCACTGAAAATAGATTAATCCTTAGAAATGGAACTGCTATTGTTACCTTTCAAGCATCATTTTAATATTGTCTCTTCTTTATAAGTATATCTGCCAATAGCAACAGAAACCAAGAGTTTTCTGTAACTAGAGTTTATTGCATTTGTAGGACGACATTTCACTAACACCACGGGAGAATGTCTGGGATGTGTTTGGTCTATTTAATCTTGTGATAAAAAGCAGGAGCATCATTGGGGATTATCTAGAAAAGGTGCTTATCCTGTAACACAATCCTTAGTCCTGGTTTACTTTCCAAATTTCACTTTTTTTTTTTAAAGAAGGGAAGAAACAGCAAGCAAAAAGAGAAAAAGAAAACCCACTTAAGTTATTGGTCACTTACCACTGCCCAAGTCAACAAACAAATCATCCTCTGTCATTTTAATTTCATCTATCATTTGGGCCACTAAGTCAAAGGAAGTTTCTCCGTAAACCTCTGGGGAAAAGGGCTCATAGTTGTTAAGTTTCTCTGGATCAGTCACCGAGTGGTTATACACTTGCTGCAGGATGTGCCGGAGGAGCCCGTTGGAGGGACGAGTGTTCAGTTTCATCGGTTGGGTGGTTCCCTTCCACTAAACGTAAAGAGCAGGAAGAAGATATGAACCCAACGTGAGGACAACTAAACGTCACCAAAACAAGGCTGCATTGGCATAATGTAGAAATGAGAGAAATTCCCTCCCATCCCCTCTCTCACAAGCTGGTCTGCAGGTGCTCTGTAAAGATAAAAACAGTGAACGATACTAAAGAAATTACGCAACACCGATTGCTCTATATTTTCTCACCTCAACTAAGAGGTAATTTCAAATATACCTGCTGGAAATAGGTGGTAAAGGGGAAATTAAGGAGACGTAAACATCAATAGGCAATGTAAAGCTTAATACTGAATATAGTTGGAGTAGGTGTAAAAGTTTGTTGACTTATTTTTTATTTACTGACCACCACTGAACTGATGTTGACTGTACTGTCAATGTAACAGCAGTTTCATTTTCTTTCAGGAACTGTAGGATGGGAGGGATCTATGTACTCAAACAGGGAGTGGCAGGAAAGAGATGGAAATCAAGCTTCCTTTATTCTTCAGAAAAAACCCTGCCCTAAACATAAAACTTGTTAAGTTTTAAAAATGTTTACCTCTCCCTTTGATAAGGAAAAACAAACAAAAAAGGACAGCTCCACGATCCCTCGTAAACATTCTTCTGCTTGAGATTCAGATGGCAAGAAGAAAATGAAACCAATCATGTTTGCCATTTCAGCCAGCAATTGCAAATGCTGCATAGCTTCAAATTTTTAGCTATTAACCAACATACACATGAAGACACCTGAATCAAACAAGCACAAGTTTTTGGGAGTTGCAGGCACACAAAGTCAAGGAAAGCCTGGCAAAAAAAGTCTTGTTGCCATAATACTGCACACTTCAAATAATTCCCACAAGCACAGCAGAGAAAAATTCCTTCTATACTTTCAAAATTAAACAGAGTAGTCACATTAATTCATTGTTCATGTTTTGCTTCCTCCAGTTCAACCTTTTATGGGGTAAGAAAACCAAAAAGCTTGTTAAATTGGTTTGAAAACAGATTACATTCTAGTTTTGCCAGTGATCCTGCGCCAGAGTGATCCTGCAGAACAGAGCAGCTGAACTGAGTGGCAAGCAAGGAAATTCCTAAGCCATGGATCACTTCCACAATACACAGGAGAGTTCATATGGATTGTTTAAGTACCCATAAGCCACTGACTTCCCCATGGAAAAGTAAATCTGTATGATAAACCCCTATGAAACATCTACATGCTAAATGCAGAGAAACCTTTTCTTCCCCCTAAAGGTAACTCAGCTATTTCAAAGTGCCAGAATAATGGTGCCAGAAGTGCACACTAAAGAGTAATAGCTTACAAATCTACAGTTTGCAAAAGAAAAAAAAAAATTTTTTTTCTTTTCTTCCTATAAGAATGTCCTTCCAATACTAACTCCTTGGCTGCTCAGGGGTGATCAAAAAAATAAGGTTTAATATCAGACTTCAAGTCCCCAAAAGAATGAAAGTGCTGAATACTGGTGATGCAACTAGAGTAACACATACAGTCCAGTGCTAAGTCAGTCACCGCTTTCTGGATATTATTCACTATATGTGAATTCAAACCAGCTAGATAAACATGATGGTGCGTAACAAAGGTAAATACATACCAACTGATGAATGCTATCAATGGCTCGGTTGTATTTGTCACAAAGCCTCTGCATGCTTTCAAAGCTACGTGGGGAGAAAGAACGCAAGGTCAGTTAAAAACAGAGCTCTAAAAGGCAGGTTTGAAGATACAACCTTGTGCTTTTTTCTCATCATACATACTCTAAGTAGGTGGCTATTTAGGGTTTGTTTCTTGCAGAACATGTAATTACATGCACAGCTTTAGGACTTTGTATGGTTTCCTTTAAAAAAATTCCCCAGTAGACCAGGAGCACATGACAAATAATATTCATTTCTTTAATTAATGGAAAAAGCACTGAACTCAAAGTATGACTTATTAGAAAGTTTTGTATTCTCATAGTCCCTTACTTCTTTTCCATATTCTCAGCTGCACAGAAATTTAATGCATCTGTAAATTTTTCTCCTTTGTTCCACCATCTGTCCATGATAATCAGTCCTGAGACAGTAGATACTTTTCTAGAAATTAACTCTGGGACTGAAAATGCAGATAGACCCAGGACACAACCTAAAATTTCACCCATCAGAAAAGCATACTGATTGCTTCATGGGCTGGTTGGGATTACAGTCAATTCAGGCAGATGCCTTAATGACAGAAGCTGAGAGGATTAAATAAATTCATCTCAGGCCAGGGAAGAAAAGATATTACTAGGAACATTATCCATTACATAATCAGATCCACAAAGCAGCAGAAAAAAAAAAAAGAAAAAACAAAAAACCAACAATATAAGGAGTTTCAGGAGTAAGATAATTAAATCATGGCCATCCCCAAATCTGAAAAGGGGTGGGGGGACCAGGGGACATTGGAAGGCAGTGGCTCTTCAGTCTCTTGTGATCCTGATTACCACTACGCTGGCTAGGACACCTCTCCAAGGAAGACTGCTGACTTCAAGCTTTCAACTGCCCATGCTTATTTCCACATTAAGACAAAGCAAGAGGCTGAAATGGGTTTTTGCCTGCACAGCACATGCATTTCTATAATCCACTCCTTTTCATGCACATCCATGTGTCAGTCTATCTGCTACAAGTAATTTCTCTGACAAATTTTTTCAAAGGAAGTGAAAAGACTAACCATTACCAAAACTACAGGTTTATGAGTTCATTGAAAAGCTGCAGAAAGGTAAGTGGGGTGTGACTTTTAGGAACAGATGGGTTTCTCTTTTAATTCAGCATTGCTGCAGACCACACTGATGCTACCCAGTTAAACATGCCCAGGGAGGATGCCAGAACTACAAAAGTTACAGCATTGCAGTCACTGTGAGTAATCCACAAATCCAAGTTAACAGATCTGATGACAAGGGTTGCTCAAACCTGATTTCTCCTTTTGAATTCTTCAGGAGGAAGAGAGGGACTAACAAGTCTTGCAATGAAACAATTAAAACGAAATTGAGAGAGTAGGAAGCAACACCTAAAGCAGATCATGACACAAGGATCTGGTGCTCAGGACAATAGCCAGTGATTAATTTGAGTGATGCAGTTTCATCTGTAAACCTCATTCTAAAAGTTTAGTCATGCTGTGGACTTGAACAAATTCAGTCTTTCCCATGAAAGCAGCTAAGGAGGTTTTTGTAAACCGCAGCTTGAGGGTCATCTTTTTCCAGTCTCAGTACAGCCAAGTCAATACACAGAACCTCAGACCTCTCCACAGATACACCACAGGTCAGAATCTGACTCTCCCAGCCTCAAGGTGAATGCCACATACTGTACATTCATTTTAAGCTATTTGTGGAATAGGTATTCACATGTAACTACAAGCATCTTAAAATTATTTCTAACTGCCCAGAAGACCTGTATGAATCGTTGTCTTTTAATTTAGCCCCCCACCCAAACAGCATCCCACCTGCACTGAATCGTAACCAGAGGAGGGATGGGAAAGGTTAACCTCCCACAGTCATGGCAGGAAGATGACATGGTGCTGACAGACAGCTCTGGCACGCCACATTCTAAACAGGAATTCTTACTTACTACAAAAGTAGAAACCTCAGTGCCATTCAGATTCCTAACACTGGACGCAGTCCAACAGCGCAGATACCGATCATTGTTTTGGAGTGAGTAATTCCAACGTACACCAGAGCTCAACTTTCTGCTGTGTGGAGTTTCCAATTATGTCCTTAATCCAACAGCCTTTGCCAATATTGCTGTTACACATTTCCTACCAAAATAACTCTGCAGAGTCTGAAGCCAGTTCTAAAAGAAAACTTCAGTTCATAGTGTCTAGGAATAACCAGTTACAAACTGATTCACTGTGAACCGAGCTGGCCTGTCCTCCTGGTGGGAAAAAAATATTCCTCTCACCTTTTTGTATCATAGTCAATTAAAACATAGTTTTCCATAGCAAGCTTGAGATCTGGGATTTCTTCACAGACCCACCTGGAACGAGAGAAGAAATAATTAATAAAAACAGGTCTAATCAGTATAATAAAGCAGTCTGTCTCAATTCTAGACTGGCATTGCTATATGTAAAGACAGAATACTGCAGCAGACCTGAAAGATCACAATATTGTTAGGAGTAAGGCAGACATCACAAAATGCTAACTGGAAAGATGCAATAGTTCGCATTTGTATTGAATAAACAGTAAGGTGCCTGTAAACACTGGCAGTAGCATAAAGCTCTTGAAATGGTGCAATTTCAAAACAAGGTGATAAATTTATTCAATGCATCTATAAATACTCAAAGCCACGGCTGATGCTAATCTAACATAAAATGTAATGCAGAAATGAAATATTTCAAAAGAATTCTGATACGGCAACAAGCTTTGACAAAGCTGAATGTGGAGGAGACGTTTCCTACAGCACCCAAAACTAATGCCACCAACCAATTCACTGCAAGGATATTCTCCTCTGTGTAGTGCTCTAAACTACTCTTACACCTTACATGACCCAACCCAAAACAGATTTTCAAAAGTTATTTTGATAAAAGATCCATTTTACATGCTGAGTTAACAAAGCCCTGTATGTTGTTACCATTAGGAATGGAAAGTGCGCACCCACTTGCAATGCATCTGACAATGGCATCTCACAGAAGAGATCTTCACTCTTGGAATGTAGGAAGAGTAATTCCTTTCAAAGACAACTTTAAAGCCACACAAACTTTGCACACACTTTCCTCCAAAAGCATCAAAATGGGAAAGCACTATCATCATCAGAAAACCTCAGAGCATGTCATAGGATGAATTCCAATAGGAACAGGAGAGTTTCTTCATGCACCTTGATGCATGCTTCATTATTAAAGTGATGAAAAAAAAATTAATGATGACTAGAGATCCAACAGTTCTGGTTCCTTCTGGCTGATTCACTTATCAAATAAATACATAAGCAAGTAAAAAACCAGAACTTCTACATCTATGGCTGACTCTCTTCTGACTAATATCTCCCATCTCCCTAAAAACATTAGGACTCTGACCTCTGCAAATGTTTTTCTCTTAAATTACGGGAATGGGCAGTCAACAGCTGTCTACCACTGGCTTCAAGAGATAAATACTTCTTTACATTCTTTTACCCACCACTTTCATAACCACATTGCGGTTACTTTGCACAAGGCAGGCAAAGGCAGCATGAAAGCCTTCTAATGCACTGTATTCACTGCAATCATGCTTAGAACACAGTTGTGAAACATCAGTTTGGTCCAACTGCTTTCTAACACAGTTTTCCCCTTGCCTTCAGCTAGTGTAGCACAGAAACCACTAGCCCCGATGACTCCAGCAATCACTTTGTGTTTAAATCCCTTCAGAAAGGGTCTTCTGAATAATCATATTGACAAATAAAGCCACAAGTTCCCAAGGCACAGAACCTTACCAACATCAGTACAAGTGAACTGGAAGTAGCAATGGCAGTGCATCTTGTGTCAAGGTTTTGTAATTTTAGAAAAAGAAATTTCTTTAGAAGAAAAATTCTCAGCTTTAGCCCCTAGCCCCATTACACATTCTCTCCCAACACAGACCATGGGACAATGCTATGATTTCATGTATATAAGTGATATTATCAACACTACCATGCAAGCACTTAGCTCTCGCACTCATACTGGGAGCAAACAAGGCTCACTACCTTTTCACAGGCCGTATGCGACTGACCAAACTTCAGGCTCAGGTGGCTATGCAGATAAAACACCATTCTTTGTACCTCACCTGTATCTGCACCATCCAATCATTAAAATCTGCTGCAGATACAGCCCCCAGACAAGGGAAGCCTGTATGATAAGGATCTAAAACAGTTAACAAGAACAGCTTTTAAACAATCTAATGTGGATAACGCATTAACATCCCTCACGCATTTGGGGAATTCATGTTAGCATTTAATAAAAGTTATTCTACAGCAAGTCACCTCCTAATCCTAATGAAATAACAGCAAGCCATGTCATCGCCACTGCCTGTGTTGGGAAATTCTCAGACTTCCTACTCTTCGTATCTGTCTTTCACCTTTATCCTCCCATATTCCCCACATTGGTCCAACTCTATCAGCAGAATTAAGAGGAATGCTAATAGGGACATCATTCCCAAATAACGCAAATGCTAACAATGCTGCAACATCACAGCAACAAGGGGAAAGGGAGAGGGTGCGCAAGTGGATATGCAAGACCAGAACCAAACACATCATGCCAATGATGTTTTCTTAACCCTGCTTTTCTAAAGATCGAATACGGACTGCCATAAGCACCAAAGCTGAATATCACTACTCATTTTTAATTATTTTCAAAAAATAGAATATGGCAAGTTAAAACAAAGTCTGTTTGACAGGGAGATTTGTATTGCAACAATATCAATCCAGCTTAGAAAATAATTTAGAACTGCTAAATTATAACTGTTGCCCTCCTTTATATCTTGTCTCAAGACATCCATTCACTGAGATGCAGTAAGACACAGGAAAGGGTTTTAGCCATGCCTGCATTGAACACTTACCGAATTGTCTCAATAATTTCGTGAGCAGCATCATGGTGTTTGTCCTGAAATAAAAATAAAACAAGAGATGAGTTCAAAGAGACATCAGGTGTGTTGTTTGTCAGAAGATTACAGGAATCACAATCTTTAAGAATATAGGTGGCAAGCATACTAGGAAAAGAGTCTTTGATTGCCACCCAGGCCATTAAACCCATCAAAATGAGCCCTCTAAGAAAAAATAAGGCATAAGGAAATAAATTTTTCAAGTTTCTATGGACTAGCAGAAGATTTACATGAAGGAACTGTCATTCTACTTATTTCTTTGTCATTTCCTGAAATCAGGAATTGTGTAGCTGATACCCTTGAGGATTATTGGTATGCAGTAGGTACTTGACTGCAAGTTCCACAATGAACAGCTGATTTCATCGACCTAGCATCTGGTACATGCTCACATCTCCATATGGGCAGTAAGATTCTAGCACAGTGAATGGCTTTCTAAAATAAAGCATCAAATAAACAGGAGGAGTGGATATCAGTGAAGGGAAAAAAAACTAATAAAAAACCTCACAGCACACACACAAAAAAAAGGAGGCCTGAATATGCAGACCTTTTGATGAACTGAAAAACAAAACACACATGCACAAAACACATTAAAACTTGTGCATTACAAGTATACACTGGACTGTGAGGCACAGATGTTTGTTGACTTTCATTTGGGAGTTTACTCAGGAGCAACAGAAGCACAAGTGAGTTTAGCAAGCCATTCCAAATTCATGCTAATAAAGCCCTTGGAGCTGCATGTATATGCACCATGCTACAAAAAATTCTATTTTAGGGAAGTTACAGGAGTTCCTATATATATTGTTGCATCCATCTTGTGAAGCCCTAGTTACCAGAGTCCATCTGCACAAAGCTGAGGTTATATTTAGACGTTTGTTTCTTGAAGTGGCTTTGACCTTTTAATTAGGAGCCTAGTATCTAAGGACCTTCCAGAGTTAGAGGTGTAAAGGCTCACCCACTCTCAAATAATTGCCCTTGTCTTCTGCTGCAGAAATGTCACTTCTATAGAGTTACCAGGGGGAAACTCTATAGCAAAGGGTAGGGACAGGCAACAGAAAGCAGAGGACTGGGGGCAGGGGAAGGAAGGGAATGGAAGAAGAGAAACACTAATGGACAGATGACAGAAAATGGCTGGGATTATTTCTATTTCTTCAAGACATGGAAGGACATGATATAAGTCAAATAGAAGCTTTTTCCATCAGTATCACAGCCCTCATATTTGTATGAGGAAGTAGATTTCCCCTTCTATAACCAGTTTACATACTTAGGATCAGCCAGTCTTGTAGAAGTTCTCATTCCAAGAAACTTGTACGCGGCCCTTTAGATACTTGGATAAAAATCTCATGACTGGGAGGGATAGAAAGGCAGGCAAACACTTCTGAAGTCTGTTGTATTAAAGGTATGAAGGAACACTTCCTATTTTACTAGGAAAAGCTTTTATTTTCAGAATGCAAATATATCCCATATCTAGGATTCACATGAGAGACTAATCAAAGAAAAACAAAACACTCCAGTTACAATATCAAAAAGGAGAAACAGTCAACATAAAAATAGTCAGGACATTTGGGATCAAATACACAGTGGCCTAGAAGCTGAGCATTACCTTGGTCATGTTTCATAACAACATGCCGATGCTACACAAACGCCCCAAACATCGCAAGCCATGCAAAACAGCTCTGCTGAAGTTCTGCTTCCTCCAGTCTATGGCATTCACTCAGGGCCTGGACTGGGACAATCCAAATCCAACAGAAACCAACAGCACCAATAAACAGTCACTCAAGTTAAGTCCAGAAATGTCAATTAAGTAATTCCATTGGTAAATCTTGGCCTAGAAAACCACCAAGCAACTGAACTAAAATCTGCTCCTGACTCTCAGTGCACATATAGAAAAAGCATACAAGAGGAGGACTTTTCTTTCTTTTCATTTCTTATCTGCAAAGTATAAAAATAACCCAAGACAGTCAACTCATCCATAAACATCCTCTATAAATTTTCACCTTCTGCCACATGTGGAATTATCACAGTAGAAACCCCTAGGGCTGATCTAGCTCTTCCAGTAAACTGTGTTCCTGTATAGTAAGAATATGCTTTATCAACATAAGCACATTATACCGGAAAAGTAAATTCAGGCATATTCTGGCATAACCGTTTTCTCTGAAGAAGTTATATTCTTCGTTGATGGTTTTGGACAGTTTCAATGCTAGCAGAACACACGAAGAAACCCCTTGTCCTATAGGTCTTCATGAAAACACCCCTATAAATGATCAAAATTGCTTAATTAACAGATTCCTTTGTCTTGGGCTTAAAAAATGAAAAATAAATTTTAAAAAAAATTAAAAAATAGAAATCACAATGCACATCTACAACTACAGATCATCCAACTTAAACAAGCGGACTTACTAACACAGCTTCATGTGGAAGCTCCAGCCAGAGGGGCCTTTCTGAGTTTAGTTTGTGTCATTATCTAGGAATAATGAAGTTGAAAACAGTTCCACATTTACTGCTGCTGAACTTCTCATGTTGAAACACTTACCAAGTTCACTATACTCTATAACATACTTTCTCCAAGTAGACAAGCTCCCAAGATCTCATGCAAGTCTTGCAAACAAAATCAGATATTATCTCCTAACATTTCTTCGAAGCAGATGTGGCCATGGAAAACGGAGGAGGGAAGGGGGGGAAACAGATCTAAGGGAAATACAGAGCAGTTTCCCTTTTCTTTTAGTCCCATTTCAACATTACAGTTGTAAGATTTAATAAGAATAGCGTAAGATTTAATAACAATAGACATTAAACAGCACCAGTCATCACACCTGTATTCATGCAATTGTTTATGACACTGGTAGAGAATCCTCAGCAACTCAAAAGGCAAACTGAATAGAAACCTCACCAAAACCAGGCTCCACTCCAACCAGCATCAGCCTCTGCCCATCATCCTTTCAAGCAGATGCACTGGTTTTGGCCAGACTCACAACTGAGCTCAGTGCAGCAGCTTTAACCCGGATCCTTTTACAGACCCAGTGGATGAACACTGAAACCAGCAGGTTGGGAGGGTCCAACAGCAATTCCCAATGGCTCTGCTGCAATCACAGCAGTCTGACACACCTTACACCTGGCTAGGCCAACAGTTAACCCAGCACACTCAAAGATGGCATGAAGCTTCTCAAATTCAGACACATTTTTGAGTTTGGTGTTTGTTTTGTTGTTGGTTTGGGGTTTTTTTTTTCCTTTTTTCAGGCTGCAATGACCCATGATCAACACCAGCATGCCAGCTACACCTTTAGCACAGGCACGTTATACAAGCACATCGTGTTATACTTTGGCAAACAGTCATCCATGAGAGCACAGCTTTTGTCAGTAAAATATCCTCATAAAAAGCCTCCTACAAACAGATTGGCTATCAATCATGAAATACACTGTGCAGAAGCCTTTTGGATGAGTCTCAAGAAACATATCTGTTCTGTTCGCAGTCACGAGATGATGCCACAGTACTCTCTGTCACGAAGAGGAGCTCCATTCATCCTCCAACTCTGCTCCAAGCTGTTCTCCCTCCCCTACACGCTGATGTGAAGCATACTACGTGCTGCTCGTTGGCCTGGCTGTACTTCTGCAATGTTCTTATATTTATGTAGTTTGAGAGGCCCTTGGAATCTTCTGAGCCACATAAATGGAAGCTATTTCATGGGACAAGACCTTATGTCTTTAATGTGGTCTATGCACTAAGTATTTAAAGTAAGAAGTTGCAGTCTGTAGTAATTATTGAGAATGCCCAAAGCTATTCATAACAAGTTTATAAAAAAAAAAAACTAAACACACATTAAAAGTTAGTTATTGTAGTCAATTCTCTCCAGCTGAACTTTATAATAAAGTTCTTATTTTCAACCTAAACATCCAATTTAAAATTGAAACGCGAGCTCCCAGAGAAAATTCAATAGTTTTTGCCAAGACATTTCATTGGAAAAATAATGGAAAGAAAGCAGACACTTTTTCAAAACTCACTTGTAAAAGAATCCAGTTTTCTATGGAAAACAGTGGAGAACAGTTTCAGCCAGCACGATTGAACAGCTTCGCAGTTCTGATTCTTACAACACATTTCTCCATCCACATGTTACTACAACTCCAATCACAGCAGTTAAGAGTTTGAAGCCAGAAACACACCCACCCACTTTTAGTACGCTTGTGCCCAGAAGCCCTACCAGCATGCACAACTCCTGCTTACACACCACGCCAAGCAGACAGAGTCCTCCTATGGAAGTCAACAAGCTGCATTAGCTGTTTTGCCCTTTAGGACATGGAGATGAGGCCATAGAGCGATTTTTAAGAGTTTGATCTTTCCCTTCACCTCTTCTCCAAAGTTTCCAATCCTGATTGTTCAGGCTCTGATCACGGGGGATGGGGGGGGGGGGGGGGGAAAAAAAGAAAAAAGAAAAAAAAGAAAAAAAAAGAATTATGAATGTTCCTGCGTGCTTCAATGGTCAAGTCAGCCAGCCCTCTTTGTACAAAAGACATTTTGTATCTCGCAGATATGCGAAGTCCTATATGTGGTTTTAGTGGCCAAATAAACAGTGCCCAAAAGCTCTTTCCAAATATATATTTTCATTATCATTACCTCATTATCATTATCCACTCTTATTTCATTTTCTATAATCACATATTCCGTTTGTTAACCCAAATTAAAAAAAAAAACAAAAAACATCAGTATGACCAGAACTTATAAGTCCTCAGTAGTAATCACAGCTATTACTCTAACACCTATGTAAGAAAACTAAAGGATCCCCAGTCATACCATGCATCATATGAACAGTACCAGACACATTTCAGTTATCTATACATAACTTTGTTCTACAAAGCACCAAATTTCTAATAACAGTTGAATCAGAAGGTTTTTCAGAACCTCTCTTTACAAGAGCAAGGTAAAGTGAAAATTACAACTTGTTACATTTTTGCCACAAGGTAGCTGTTACAAAGGCTTGTAATTCACACTGAATACAAAGCACTACACACACTTCCACCAGGTGTGGCTGTTTTGGTTACATTATTTTTTCAACTTAACATCCCTTAGGATATCTTAATAGCATTGTTTTGATATAATTCTGTATTCCAGTACTGTATCCTAGACTCTTGGGTGTATTTGTACAGGACTAGTTATCTCGCAGTGCAACAATTTGTACTCTAAAGTGAATCTCTAACCTAAAGCAACAGATTTAAACATTATATGTTTCTTCCTCAAACACAAAGAACATGTTCAATTAAATTGGGCAGCCGTCATTGCCTGAAGCAAGGAACAACACCCTTGTGCCCTTCCAAATTTACATCTTTTTATATTCAGGTCCTTCTTAGGAAACTATGTTTATCCTTGGGGATAAGCCTAAGTTCGGGCTTGGGGGTGAACACTGTATTTTTCTAAACTTCTTTTCCCCACATGCAAAATGGGATCCTTGTGAGATTTAATCAGTCTACACAGTGCTCCACAGTAAAGGTAGCAAAAAGCCCAAACCTGAGAGGAGAACAAATGGTTTGAAAATTGGGATGAGGTCTTGAAAAAAAGAAATACAGCTCATGCGCCTTCAATCAGTAGCTCCTGAAGCACCATACACAGAACTTTAAGACCCCTTATCTACTCTCATAGATAGGAACATTTTTGTGCACAGCTTTGACTGCCCAAGACTAAACTGCCCTACAGCAAAAGCAATTTTTACCTTTGCAGGGCCAGTTTAGTGTTTGACTCACCAGACCGCACTTCCTCCCCTAAAAACAGGCCAAGTGACCAAAGCAGCTCTTCAGAAACGTGCAAACAAGCTGTGGTCAAGCATTTGCAAAGGAGGAGGAAGAGACCTCCTATAAGCTTTTCACTGTCCACAAGATGAATCCAAACAATTCAGAGAAAACAAAACCTGAAACAAACTAGTTACAAATAAATCAATGGCAACACTCATGTACCTTTTAATGATTGTCTTTAGATACCGCTCTACTTCCAACACTTCAACAATCTAACACTGGCTCCCAAGTACTAAACACTGACTCCACTCATGTATTAACAGAGGTCATTTTGATCTGCCAAATTCTGATCTGCATATGATCTATTTAACTCACAAAACAAAAGAGGTCAGTCTCACTAGCCCCTGGTTCTAAAGAACAGCTTGGTTGCCTGTAGTGGCAGCTCTCTCCCCAGGCAGTGGTCCATAAATCCAAACGAGAGGATGTTACAGCTGGAGACAAGATGGTTAGCAAGAGATCAAAAAGATGGATTAGGAAAAGCCAATCAATCTTGCAGAAGGCTAGTGGGACAAGTGCCTCTTTAATGTCCCCTAGGTTTCCTCCATCTGTGGAGGATGATAAGCATTTCTCTAGACACCAAGAAAGGCAATGTGAGCTACTGCAGCTGCAGCTTCCCCACAGGAACCAGGAAAGCATCCAGCATTCTGCGTGGCACATGGATGCCCTCTCAAAACCACTGCCTTCAGCCTGTCACAAGTTTGCATTCCTCCTCCCCCAGGGTTTAACTTAATTTACACCTTGTCTAGAAAGATTCACCAGTACAGCTTCTATGTCCAGACCACGTCCATATTCAATACACCTGCAAACAGTGGTTGGTTGACAGGAGCCTATGAA